GCATGCACACGTGGGGTGCACACGTGGGGTGCACGCATGCCGTGAGGGTGCGTGCATGCACACGTGGGGTGCACACATGGGATGCACGCATGCCGTGAGGGTGTGTGCATGCACACATGGGGTGCACACATACCGAGAGGGTGCGCGCATGCCGCGAGGGGCGAGTGGTGGTGATGTGTGAATGGGGTGAGGGCACTGTGTGCTCTCTGTGCTGCTCTTTTTGCAACTTTCTTTTAAATTTGAAGTTATCTTTTTAATTCTGAATTAGAAATCTTCAACATTTTAAAGTGCAAACCAGCATATAACCACACTATGTGCTATGAATCTGGTTACTTTCCAATATGCCAAAATCCAGCATTGGTGGGGCCTCGTATACTGGTTGGATTTAAGTTAAACAACATGAAGAGGAAGATAAACCCTAGGGAGCGCTCTCCCTGCTCCCAGGGGCCAGTTACACACCGGCATCAGCCCTGCTGCCTCTGGCTCACGGTGGTATGAGTCCCCAGTGCTTCCTTTTCTTGGTTCACTCCACCTTTTTTTTTTTCAATTCAGCTATTTCCCTTTGAAAGTCAGTTAAATAATTCATTGGGGGGGAAGCATAAAGGAATTTCACAAAGTTTACCCAATGCAAATTTTCTTTTCTCTCCTGAGATAGTATGACTATCTAGATCCAAACTCCAAAAATGTAAATAAAAAATATCATTGGGGTAATCCATTTTCATTCCTGTAATTAGGTTCTTTGATTGAACAGTATAATTAGAAAATGAGAAGCTGGCAGTCTGCTAATAATTGCTTCAACTTTCACAAGTCCCCAGACAACATTTACTATTGGTCTCTTAAACTACAATCTGGAAATACTGGCATGCAGTTAATGCATTAAAATCAACTACTACTTCCATAAATAGGAAATACAAATTATGGCCACTCAAAGTGCTACCTTTAAAAGAATGTTTACTTCAAAGCAGGTAGCTTGCATGAAAATAGCTTGTCATCATACTGATTATTAAAATCACAGGGCTTTTAAAAACATAGGCTAGGATGAGAGAGATGATAAAGCAGAGTGAATAATGCAGGTATAAGAATGTATCTCTGTACCGGTGCTACAGATCCTGGAGGCATCTGGTACATCTGAACCGGGGGTCCGGAAGGCGGAGGGTGGGCGGGGTGGCCTGGCGTTTGGCACTGCTGCAGCTGCGGAGGCGCGATGTAGGGATTAGCTCTGCTGCTCACAGGGGTGTGGCGATATGGATTGTATCCTTGCTGGGGTACGCCTTGGGGTGGGCTTCCAAAACTTGAAGGAGGGAAACCACTCGGTTGAGAAGGCAGGTAAGTACTTATTCCCATCTGTGAAGATGAAGCACCATACTGAGCCTTTGAGATGGACGGTGAAAACGCATTCAGTGTGTCCTGGGATCCCGTGGTGAAAGGCAGAGCCGTCGGGGGCTTGGAGAACACGGACTGTCCAGCCGCCGTTGCTGCAGTCGTTAACGGTGATTGTCCAATATTCCCAAAAGGATCACTACTGCTTGATACCTGAGAGAAGTACCTGAGTGTCTGTGGGGTAGATGTGGGAGCACTAGTCTGCCCGAGGAAGCTGTCCTCCTCGCCAACATCTGTGGAATCCTCTGAAAGGGAACAGGGAAACAGGAGTTTTAAGGCTCCCACCAGCCTGCAGCCATGACTCCACCCCGAGAGCCAGTGACTGTGCACTCATGTTGTTCAAACTTACATTTCTGCATTACAGAATAAAAAAAAAAAAAAACTTTCTCTTCAGACGCTTTCTTTAAAATGAGAAGACAGTCAAAAATCACAAAAGGGGCCTCCCTGGTGGTGCAAGGGGCTAAAGCATGGCACTGCGAAGCTGTCCACAGCCACTGCACTGCGAGTTCCTGTCGGATCCCTGGCCAGGGAGGGACCCACATGCTCGGCAGACCCACCTGTCTCCCAGGCAGATTCCAGTAGCTCAACCTGTGCTGCTCCCCACTCTGTCTCTGATGAAGCCTCTCATCCCCCCACACCTCTGGTCTGTACCCCAGTTATTACATAAATAAATGTTTAAAAAGTAACCAAAGGAATTAAAAATTACATTTCCTTCGAAGCCCCCTCGCAGAGACAATCACTGTGAACACTGTAACATTCTGGTGCCCACCTGTCCATTAATCTTAAATAAACAGCTATGTGTTGCTTTCTAAGTATATAGATTACATGCATTTGTATTTAGAAACTTTTAAAAATAGAAATCAGATCCATACCTACTAGTTTTACATGTTGCTTCAAATGTTTTTTCTAATAATAATCAAATATTATTCCACTACCCAATTACACACAATTTGATTTCTACAATAATGACAAGAAACTGAAGCACACACTCTCTTACAGTGATGGGGAGCGGAGGGGGTGGGAGAAGAGGTTGAAAGGAAAGGAGATAAGGAGAGGAGAGAGACGGTGCTCACCACTACCAGGTTCTACCAAATCTGCAGGTCTTCTCATCCTCCCAGGCTCTGACACAGCCCTGCTATCCACCCGCAACAGTTCACTCAAGAACCAGCTCCTCTGTGAGCCCCGAGGGGCTGAGGGACACCCTCTCCCAGGCAGCCCAGACCACCGCCTCCACAGCAGCCATCAGCCCAGGGCCTGCCAAGCCGGTGCAGACGGCATCCGGGGCTGACGTAGTGGACACCATGTGGACACTCACGCTGTGCAGTCATTGGGGGCCACGCTCTCTGCCCTTCAGTATCTCCCTGCCCTCTGGAGCAGGGTCTGGCAAACAGACACATGCAACCAGTATTTGTTAAATGAATGAAACTGCTTCTTCTGTGTCTTTTTCACTGGCACGATTAACAGTTGCCTCCAATGAGACGCACTGTTCCTTTGTCTCCTGAAATTCTCTGGGAAGCTTTCTAATGAGAAATCTTTTTAAGAGGCAGAAAAATACTTGTTGCCCAATTTCAGTTCTAAACACCATTAATTTTCTCATCGAAACAAAACAAGCTATCTCCGAAAATGTACAAGACAGGCTTGGTTATCCTATACCTGACAATGAAATGTTGAGTATTAACTGGTGGTGATACACAAACAAAATAGCCATAGCAAGGATGGGCATGACCCAGGCAACATCTGTGAAGCAAAGGATGGTGTGGGGACAGCGTCCCACAGTCCCACAGCACCTGCTAGTCACACTAGCCACTCACCAAAATGCACGAATTCCGTGGCCACACAGTCCAACAAGACAACATAGTCCTGACCCCAACCCTTTCACTGGGTCACCAGCCGGCCATTGAAAACTCTACAACATACCAGGCACTGTTGTGTCAGCTCCTCGGGGAAGCCAGCATTCTAGGAGGAAGAAATCCGACCTCGGGAAGTGGTCAGGAGCACTGACAAGGGGCGGGGAGCCTCGCTATAGAACTGCCTCCAGTTTGCCCCGCTTCACCTGTCTAGGGAAGGTCCAAACAAGAAGAAATTACTCAGGGGCTTCCCTGGTGGCGCAAGACATTAAAGCGCAGCACTGTGAAGCTGCCCACTGCCACTGCAGCACAAGTTCCATCCCCAGTCAGGTAATGATCTATGGGGCAGAGCGCAGCAGGTCTCTCCTGTCTCCTGGCTGCTCCCCTCAGCAGGGTATCTTGGTCAATCGGCCTGTTCTGTCCCCCACTCTGCCTCTGGTGAATCCAATTCCCCACCCCGGCACCTCTGGCCTGTATCCCAGTTCTTGTACGTGTAAATAAATAAACCTTTTTAAAAAATTAATTATTCACTGGAAAAATATTTGGCAGTGTCTGAGGATCTGGGTGCCGGAGCACTGAAACAACATCTAGAAATAGACAGGAAAATCAGAGTCACAAAGTTCAAAGAGCCCACCAGTCAGACAAGAGGCCGACAGGCTGACTTCACACATGCTTCTCTAACACTACTCTGTTTTTACGAAAATCCACTCACTGTAAACAGACGGGCAAGGAAGCACAGCGAGTAACTTGTCTCAGAGCTCACAGCGACTTCGCGGCAAGGCCCGCGCAACCTGCGCTCCTATGCCACGTAAGCTCTTCAATGCAATCATCTCCGCACACAACAATAAAGATATGGGGGGGCGCGCTGAAGGCCACAGAGGGAACCTGGGAGAACAGGGAAACGCTTCTCAGCGAGAAGGTGCCGTCTCGAAAGGTGAGGGCATTGCGTGCTCTCCTCTGCAGACACGCTAGTTTACACCAGGAGATACCCCACGGCAGCCCAGGAAGGACAAGGTGTGATCAGCATCTCCCCGCAAGCACCGGCAACGGCGCGACAAAAAGCCGAGAGCCGCCGCCGCCCCGTCCAGCTCCAGCACCGAGTTCCCTCCGCAGAGCGAGCTTCACCCCCGCCCCGCCTCCAAGTCCCAAAGCCCCGGCCGCTCAAGCTGGCCCGAAGGCCCCGGCAAGCGGCCCAGAGCGGGGGTCGCAGCTCGGAGTTCTCGCGTCCGACCCGCACCAGCCCAGGACCCCGCCGCCTCCCCGGACACACTCACCACCACCCACCCCCGCGCCCCCTCACTACCTCCGTGCAAGAGCAAGGAGGCCGAGGCGGCGGCGGCTTGGGTGACTGGGATGAAGGGCACGTTGAAGCTGAACTCCGTGGCCGACGAGGAGAAGAGTAAGTTCGTGCCCGACGAAGAGGCGGAGGCGCCGCCGCCGTTAGCTTTCCTCTCGGTCATGGCTGCAGCCCACCCGTCCGTTACACGTCTCCGGGAGACCGTGCAGCACCACCGACCGGAACCGGTCACACTCGGGGCCAGCACACTTCCGCACCTGCGCACTGCGGCCGGAACGGAGCGTGGCTACAGCCGCCAGAAAACAAAATGGCGGCGAAGGCTTCACGCCCAAGCCCTAGCACGTGACACTCTCCGCGCCAGCCCAGGCTGGGTGAGCGGTAGTGTCGTGGAGACTGCGTGGATCTCTGCCGCCTTCGACGCCACCATGTAATTTAGGGGAAACTCTGAGAGCCTGCCGGGGAAGCTCACACCACGCAGCCGGCGGAGAAAATGAGGAACAGGGATGTGGGCTATTTGTAGCCAAGGCCTATCCAAGCTCACCCACAGTTTGGGTCCGAACTCTTGCCGTTGACCCAGAAATAGAAATGATTAGATATGTTTTAAATATTTAAGCCGCCGGGGGGAGAAAGAAAATGTTCAAAAGAGAAACCATGGAGTTGAAATTTTGTACTTTTTGAATAATCATCTAATACAATGCCAAAGTGCATTATGAATAACTTGAGTAGAATAGTCAGTCTTTCTGTTTCTTGGAGGGCAGGATTGGGAAACAGACCCCAAAAGAAGGTTTATTATATATCCTTCTATTTCATATTCTTACTATCGAGGATAAAGCCAGACAATAGTTAAAATGAAGATAGATTCTATTCACTAATAACTTACAGGGAAGGGAATACAATGTGAACTCAACGTCCCCAAAACAAAAGTTTGGAGGCTTTTTAGAGACTGGGATGTGCTAAGGGGAAAGCACCCATGGGTGCCAACAGGTGTTGGGCCATGTGACTAGGCCACCTGGGCTTGTTAATTGGCACTTACTAATGAAACAAATTTCTCATATCTTTATGACAGACAATACTGCAAGCCAGAGCCAAACACCCTCCTGGCTGGGTGGAGTCAGCTCTCCGGTCCATGGGAAGACAGTGCTGGGTGGCAGAAGATTTAAATCTCTAAGGAGCACAGAAATAATAATGCTCTAGGAGTGGTACCAAGGGCCTAGATGCCTATCACCAGGTTTGGGCTGGAGCAAACTAAACTCTCCCAGCCATGTTGAATTTTCTCAGGCAGACATTTTAAAGAGTCCTGAGATCATCTTAGGGACATGACCTTCAGCTGCTAGAAACTGTACTGGAGTTTGGTCAAGCCTGTCATTACTGTGAATGGGCAATGCAGTGCGCTAAATACCGAAGGAGCATGACGCAACTCTCTTCCTAGAGGCTACAGTCTGATCATGAAGACAACTGAACACAGAAAGCCAAATTAATGTGTGACGAAAATGATGACAGAGCTTCCCAAGGTGTGATGTGCAATTGGGCATTATCCAGGAGAGAGGGGTCTCTCCCTCTATGAGGAGGGATAAGAAACACTATCCACAAAGGACTCACCTCTTCTGGATGACATGAAAGGCTTCCCTAAAGAAGAAAAATTAAAGTTCAGGCCTGCAAGACAATGAATAAAAGTTAACAAAAAATGTTTCAGGGAAGGGGTTGGAGGAAGTACTAGTAGACAGTTTCAGATTGTCAGTGGGGACACCTGATTGCCATTTGGCTGTTAAGAGAAACAAGGATTAGAATATGGTTGGAGCCAAGTGAGCAACTGGGAGAAAGTCAGACGTGAGAATGAAAAACCAACCAGGGCCAGATGATGCAGCTTTCTACAAGGTAAGGTCCAAAGGGAGTGGAAGAAGGGGCAGGGATAGAGAAATAAGAACATTCGGTCTGTAGAAAGTTCACTCTGACCTCAGTGTAATAAAATAGATAAGGAAAGAACAAATTCCTTCTTCCAGAAGTAGGAGAAACATTTGGCAGGCTCCTGCTTTGGCTCAGCTGGGCAACTCCAATGAAGAGTGGTTGCAGTGGGAGCGAACAGAAACAGGAGCAATTTCTGGGGAATGATGTCAGTCTAGACAGGTGTATCTTGATTTTCTGTCTCCAGGAACTGTGTTGAAAACAAATGTATTTTAAGCTCACAAGGATGAAGGGAATGGGAGAGGACTCAACAAAATTTTTGAAGGCGTGTGCACACATGCACACACAGAGATGAGCAAGTAGTAGATGATTTAGCAAAGTAGTCAAGGAGAAAACCCAGAGGCAACCTTATCTGCACTATGGTCTCCCAAAAGGATCTGCTAATCTCAAACATCTCTGGATGGGGCAATGAAACAGGAGGGAGAGGTCCTCCACTGGTGGGGGTTAACATGGTTTAAGAAGGGTCCCTTCCTCCATGGTGAGTAACTAGATGAGTGATCTTCCCCTCGTGGCAAAAAGACTGTGTTTTCCCTTTTGGAGAGGGTAAAACAAAAGGAAGAGTAAGCAAATATTTACATACTGAATAATAAAACAATCTTTGCCCAACCCACACCCAATTTCTCCACTCAGCTGCCACATTTCACCTCTACCAGAGGAATACAGTTTTCTCTGAGCATGAAAACAAGAGTTGGAGACATTGAGAGCACAGTTCCCCAGGAGACAGCCCAGCCAGATCAGCCCATAATCAAGTTCACACTCAACAAATGCCACTCACATGCTCCAGTTCCCACTCTCCTGTTTAGTCCTCACGTTTTAAATACCATGGTCAGGGCTGAGAAGCTGGAAGACAAGCCAAAGCAAGACACAGAAACAGGGAAGGGCAATGTAGAAGAATCAACCCACACAATTAAAATTCTGTCAATAATATGGTCAGTGGAGTAAGGCAAACTAACGAAGAAGCAAGATCATGGAGCTACTTTAAAAAAAAAATAATTCAGGGGACCAAAAAATAAAATTCAGGAGATAAATATTAGGAAATTTCCCAAAAAGAGAGAATAAGAAGGAAATTAATGCCCAGTAAAGACCAAACCTAAATATTAAGAGTTATGCTAAGACTGGAACAAAAGATGTGGGAGAGGGAATCGTCCAAGGAAAACAGTATTTTTGTAAAGGTTGATTTATTTATGCATACAGAACTGGGATACAGGCCAGAGGTACGGAGGATGAGAGGATCCACCAGAGACAGAGTGGGGAGCAGAATAGGCAGATCAGCAAAGTACACTGCTGAGGGGAGCAGTTGGCAAAACAGGAGAGGTCTGCTGTGGCCTGTGGGTCAGCTCCCTGGCCGGGGATGGAACTCGTGCTGCAGTGGCTGCAGAGAGCTTCATAGTGCTGCGCTTTAATCCCTTGTGCCACCAGGGAAGGCCTCACAGAATTTTTCCAGTCAAGCTCCTAGTATTTTATTTCCAGTCAAAACATACAGAGATGACAACTAGATAGACAGATAAATAGAATTTCCATGACAAATAAGATGAGAGATGATAGATAGATAAATTAGATAGAATTTCCACTTAGTTCCATGTTGTTTTTTAAGAATTTATCAGTCATTTACATATCGATTTAACTTTGGGGAGTACATTTTCTCACCCCCAAAACTCCTGTGCCCATGTCCTCATTCTGGACTCTGATTCCTTGCCTGACCTCGCAGGCATCTAAACACAGGCCTGGACAGGTCATTCATCTGATCTTTGCCACGGGACCAGGTTCTTCCTTTTCCATGAAGGGACCATAAAATGCCTTTGAGCAAGAAATTTAATCCCTGAGATGTTAATACTGAGTTGCTTGGCTTGACCCATCCCAGGCAGCCCCAGTGTTTCCCACACTATCTGCTCTAGTAACTTCTTGCCTCCCGTGGCTGTTGAGCTATCTGAACTGAGATTTGCTGTAAGTATAGAACCAGACTGCAGACTGCAAAGAATCAGTAAATTTCAAAAAAAAAGTGCAAAATAGCCAGGAACAATCTTCCTGTTGATTCTTCCAATTACATTAGTTGTGAGATCTTATTAAATATATAATTAATGTCACCTGTTTCTTTTGATTTTTTAAAAATGTGGCTGCTAAAAAAGTTTAAATTATATATGTGGCTTCCACTGCATTTCTGAGAAACCAAATACGACCACGTGCCCCATTCTGTAGTGACAGACTAAATTGAATCGTGCCCCACATCCCCGCTGCCTGCTGGTGGGAAGCCACTGGAACATCCTCCTGCCAACAGTCTTATACCAGTGGCCTCCTACATCTTGTATTCACATCACTTGATGGCATCATTTCCACCTGTGCTTGCTAAAGCTCATGCTTTGTTCCCCATGGCTCCTGGGCAGAGGCCAGGAAGCCTACACAGAACAGCTGACCTGGGATGAAATGTGAAGTTTTCAGAGTCTGCAGGAGTGGAGATAGTGACAGTCACTGTGCACCGTCAGGCAGGCCCCATCCTGGCACACTGTGACCTGGGAGAACAAGAGCAGAGTGCCAGAGCAATGAAAGGGCCCAGTTAATTGGAACCAAGGAAGCTAACCAAAATGTCAGAAGACCTGGAGAATCTTCTCACGACCTGGACTGAAGGCCAGACGTGGCAGCACATCCGCATGACACTCGCGAGCAAAGCACAAATTTATACACTCTGATGTTCACAAGACGACAAAATTGTCCAGTGACATTTCCCAAAAGGTATCCCATCCTTAAGCAACACGGTCCTCACAAACAACGCTTTGTCAGACTGGATATAACAACAGGGCTGTGACTCCAGCCTTTGCCACAAGTGACCCAGAAAGGTTGGCACTTGGTCAGCGAAGGCCACTTCCCTGCTTGTTACCCCCACCCCACCCCCTCACAGGCCCACCCCTGCTTGTTGCCTGGCTCTTACAAGGACTTAGAAATTAGTCTCCTACCTACTGTCCATGAAGGCAAGGATGGTGTGGCCTTTCTCCACCATGGGCTGTATTACTTAATGTCCTTAAAAACAGACTGGAGGTTGGGGAATGAGTGAGTGTGGTTACCCACAGTGGGGAAAATAATCTCCTAGATATGCATCCTCCCCTACCCTTGTCCATCTCATAACCACTTAGTATGAAAATGGCTCAAGTAATATCACCGAGCGTGACATTTTTCACCGAGTCTCTTCACGCTGCTCTTCTGAAGTTGCTTGTAAATCGCTAAACACATAGGTACAAACCAAGCAGAGTGTTCTGAGTC